CAATGAAAGTACATGACTCATAAGAATAAACTAAATGGTGAAATAAGAGTGTGACCCATATCACAATTCCATGTGTGTAATATATGTATCTGTATATCTATCTCTATATCTCTCAATGTTGTTTTCATTTTTAAGTCCAAGCATATTTAACAAGAACTTTAGTATGGTTGCCTTCATGGAGGAAGGGGAAAGAAATAAGAGAGTGAATCATGATCAAAGGTGAAATAGGGGCTGGCCAAATAGCTCAGTGAATTAAAGCACCTACAAGCAGGCTCAGGGGCCAGGGGTTCGATCCCCAGGCCTGCCATGATGGCCCCACACCTGGGATGTGCTGAGATAGGGATTAAGACTGGGCATGGTGGCGTGCGCCTGTAATCCCAGCTCTTGCAGGGCTGTAAACAGGCGGATCACTATGAGTACCATCTAGTAGTGAGACCCTGAACACCCTGTAGACTGATCCCTAAAATATAGAAAAAAATAATAATAAAAGGTGAAGTATACTGAAATAAAATAAAACTAGATAAGGATTGCACAGATTTGAGGACAAAGTGCTAACAGTGAATATGATCAACCAAGAAAGAAGTATCAAATTGGCTTTCTTCTAGAATACCTAGCCAGCATACTTAAATAATCTTACTTATGACAGAAATTCTTAAAAATGTTTTTTATCAGGATAATAATTGAAAAACAAGTGTATTTTCTTATAAATAGAAAGTAAATATAAAAAGAGTTACACAGAAACAAAACAATACTATGAAATTCCAGCTGTATACTCTGACTTGCTGTATAATCTGAGTCTGAGGTTAACTCTGTTTTTTTGGAAGGAAAAATAGGTTGGCAAGTCTAGAGATAAATTACTAACTTAAGAGGTTCCTTTTCTTTATATTCATGAGAGGAAAGGAAAAGTGAGGAGGGAATGTACTTTTGAATACTGTGTTTCAGAAGTGTTTAAAACCATCTGTAAGTCTGTGCAATGCCCGCAATTACCAGTGTTCTGTGCTCCGCCCACACTTTGTGAAATAGGAGTTGATGGTCACTAAGGTCTTTTCCTGCTTTAGTTTTCTGAAGTTGTGCAAAAATAAGGTGAGATCTTGTTGCTAATGAGAAAAAAAATACCTGGTAGTGAAAAGACTGGATAACAGAACAGACTCACAAGAGAGGAAAGAGGGCTGGTTTGCTGATGTGCTGAATGAGACTGCTGCTATCTACAAGAGATAAGCCTCAGAAGACTGAATCCCATTTTCAGAATTTTACAGAACTTTGCACGTGTTACCTAAGCTCTGAGGGTGATCCCAGTGACAGGAACAAGGGGCTGGCTGATGAATGCTTCTAAGGAAATGCTTGTAAGAATAACATAAAGCAAAGAAATCTTAGAACTTGTAGTTCCATTGGTCTATCTATCAGTTTCCAGAATGACACATGATTTAGGGAAGTATCTGCGATGGTCTTCCTCTTGATCAAGGGACAGAAGTGGTATTAATTGATATGGTTTCTTTCTCACCTCATGAAGACTGAAGTAAGTTGTAAGTGCTAGGAACCTACCAATGATAACAACAAGGAATCAAGAGGTGTTATCAGGACAGGTTGGCTTTCCTCTTTGAGAGTGGCTATCGTGGCTATCTCTACATCATGGCTTCCAGGGACTTCAGGCTTAAATCTTTGGATTCCAATACCAAAGAGAAAGAAAGCTATCCTTCTGTTGGTTCCAAAAATACATTGATCAAAAACAAAGCAAAACAAAAATACACTGGCCAGAATGAAATTTGGTACCTATTTCTGAAACACTGGGTGAAAGGAATTTAAGTATGATTCATGCTCCACACTGGATGTGGGAGTGAGGCCACTTCCATCCAAGCCTTCTGAGAATAACAGAGAGAAATGCCTGCTGGGAAAGCATACGAATGAAAAAACAAAATAAAACAAAACCTCCTTCGAATTTAGATCAGGAGTTAGCACACTTTTGTAAAGGGCAATGGTACATATTTTAAGTTTCGTTGGCCACAGAGGGTATTTTCCTCCCACCCCTTGCCCTGACACACCCTCTGTTTTAGACTCTAAAAATGTAGAAACTTTCTTAGCTTACAGACTGCACAGGACTTGTGGCAAGCTGAAATTGGTCCAGGGGCCATTGACTGCTGAGCCCCACATTGGACTGATTCACTTTTTATGGTTTTAGTATAACTTTTTATAAGCTTTACTTTCTGAATGTTTCTGTAGACATAAGTGCTACTCTAGGAACTCCATGAGAGAGAAGGGACAACATGTTTCCCTTTCCTTTCTCCTCTTGCCCCTCCTCCTTTTATCTACTGCTATTGGTATTACTATTGACCATGTTCTTTTTTTTGCCACTGTATATCCAATGACTATCCTAAGTCCTGGTACATGAAGTTCTCAATATATGAGTATCAAATAGACAAAAGGAGTTTCTCAATAAAATTAATAAAAAATAAACAAAAGGTATTTCTCACGGGTTTGCTGACAAAGCCTGGTCTTCTGGAGGTAGAGAAGAGAAAAAGGAGCTTGTCCTCTTTGGCAGACACTGCGCTGAATCATTGTGGTCACTGCCAGTGATTCTACGCAGGTGGCTGGGATGGGTGATAGAAACTTTGGGAGCCCTCAGAAAGCTGAATCCTGGGAAAATCTTTTTTTTTTTTTTTTTTTTTTT